TCCTGGCCCAGAAGAAGCCATGAATCCTGATTTGTGTGTTCAAACAATCAGTCTTTGGGAAGAAGCAAATGAGAGTATATTTTCCCCCAAACTTTTCTGTGGGAATGCCCTAGGAATAATTTTGGGGACAAAAGCGTAATAGAACCTTGCAGCTAGACTCGGCCAATGAGAGGTGAATATATTCTAACCGTGCACTTTATGTAGAGATTAAATCCGAGCAAAAGTCCCATAGCTTTGAGAAGTAAACTCCCTTTCCCATAAGGCAGCAGACACTTCCATGTATTTCACTTCATGATCACTTTAATGAAAATCAAAACCACTGATTGGGAAAAACGCAGGTAAAGCTGTGAAAATTGAGGTCTGTGAGATCTTTCCTGCACCTTTGTTCAGATTAAGTGTTACAAACTTCACATGGAATCAAACTTCATTTACAAAACATCCTTGCCCTAGCCGGTTTGGCTCAGCGCATAGAGCGTTGGCCTGTGGACTAAGGGGTCCCAGGTTCGATTCCGGTCAGGGGCATGTACCTTGGTTGCGGGCACATACCCAGTGGGAGGTGTGCAGGAGGCAGCTGAATCGATGTTTCTCTCTCATCGATTTTTCTGATTCCCTATACCTCTCCCTTCCTCTCTGTAAAAAATCAATAAAATATATTTAAAAAACAAACAAACATCTTCTACCTCAATGAATCTTTAAACCCTTTCTAAGTTGATTCACTTTCTTAAAAATATATTTAAAATACTATGGGGCTTTTTTGTTTTGTTTTTTATTTTAATTATAGTTCAATCTCAATGTTATTTTGTATTAGTTTAGGTGTACAGCATAGTGGTTAGATGATCATTTAATTTACACAGTGTTCCCTTGATATTTTCAGTTCCCACCTAGAACCATACATAGTTATCTCTATATTATTGACTTTTTTGTTGTTATTATTGTTTGTTAATCCTCATCCGAGGGTATTTTCCATTGATTTTTTATTTTTTTAAATTTCTTTTAGAGAGAGTGGCAGGGAGGGTGAGAGACAGAGAAACATAGATGTGAGAGAGACACATCGACTGGTTGCCTCCCGCACGTGCCCTGACCAGGGCTAGGGATTGAGCCTGCAACCGAGGTACATGCCCTTGACCGGAATCAGACCAGGGACCCTTCAGTCTGCAGGCCGATGCTCTATCCACTGAGCCAAACCAGCTAGGGCTGACTGTTTTGTTTGTTTTAAGAGAAGTCTCAAGTGGCATCAAATAATATGCCATGTATATGATATATAAATTTTCTCCCTCAACATAGCAGTGCCTCTTTAAATGTATTAAGTTTATTATACTTTATATTATATATAAATATTACATATAATATATATATATCCCTCAACATAGCTTAGATCATGTAATTTTGTGTTTTGCATTTTGTAGAAAAAAATCCCATTAGAAGAATCCTAACATGTTTTGCAAATGTGCCTCGGAGTAGATTTTAACCATTGTCCTTTCCTCATCTGGCCACTAAAAAAAAGCAGGACTGAGAGTTGAAATGACTTATGCCAAGCTGACAAGATTAGCAAGGCTTAGCCCTGACTCTGGCTGCCAGAGGCCACATGGTCTAACTGCTGGTCACTGTGGATAAGGCATTTCTGGCACCTCGCCTCTAAGTGAATTAGCTTGGTAGTCAGTAAAGCAGGGAGGATAAATCAGTGACTTCCTCCTACCTACTGAACAATTTGCTCAACATCTTGTACACTATCCAGGTCACCCAGATAAAAATCTAAGGGAAAAACCCAGCAAAGTCCAAATATCCATTAGTAGTCCCAGAGAATGAAAGCCATTTCTAACCCAAAGGTAGTTCAACAAGCTTGTTTGAGCTGAAAATTAATCTTTATGCATTTGCTGTTTCCTTCTATCTCAGGTCGCTTTCATTATTGCTGAAATATTTAAATCTTAATCTATTATATATAAAAAAAGACCCCTGGCTGGTTTGGCTCAGTGGATAGAGCGTCAGCCTACAGACTGAAGGGTCCTGGGTTCGATTACAGTCAAGGGCACATGCCCGGGTTGCAGGCTCAATTACCAGTGGAGGTGTGCCAGGAGGCAGCCGATCAATGATTCTCATCATTGATGTTTCTCTCTCTCTTTCTCTCC